GTGCTGGGATTAAAGGTGTGAGCCACCCCAAAATAACTGTATTAACTATATTTACCACACTGTGCAGTATAACTCAGAAAAAATATGTTCCTTTTTCTCTAATGGACTTTGTACCCTTTGACCATCATCTCCCTGTTCCCCAACCCCCACTTCTGTAACCATAGTTCTGCTGTCTGCTGCAGTGAGTTCCGTTGTCTTTTAGAGTCCATACAAAAGTGGAATCCTATGTTGTGCTTCTGTGCCTGGCTTATTTCTCTTAGTATAATGTTCGTTGCATCTGTCCATGTTGTTGCAAATAGTGCTGCAGTGAACATGGGGGTACAGACATCTCTTTGACAATCTGATTTCAATTTGGGGGTGTTATATATTCAGTAGTGGGATTGCTGGATCATTCCATTTCTAGTTTTTTCTTTCTTTCTTTTTTTTTTCTTTGGGAGACAATCTCGCTCTGTCGCACAGGTTCAAGCGATCTCCTGCCTCAGCCTTCCGAGTAGCTGAATTACAGGTGCACGCCACTACACCTGGCTAATTTTTTGTATTTTTAGTAGAGACAGGGTTTCACCATGTTGGTCAGGCTGGTCTTGAACTCCTGACCTCGTGATCCACCTGCCTCAGCCTCCCAAAGTGCTAGGATTACAGACATGAGCCACCATGCCCAGCCTACTTTTAGTTTTTAAAGGAATTTCTGTACTGTTTTCCATCATGGCTGTACTAATTTACATTCCCACAGTGCATAACGGCTCCCTTAGCTCCACATTCTCACAAACATTTGTCTTTCTTTGATAACAGTCATTCTGACAGGTGTGAGATGATACATAATTGTGGTTTTAATTTGCATTTCTCTAGTGATTGTGAATATGTTGGCCAGCTATATCTGTTGGCCATTTGTCGGTCTTTTGAGAAACATCTGTTCATGTCCCTTGCCCATTTTTTAATTCCTAGGGATTTGGAGAAGATACTTGCAAACTGTACATCTGAAAAGGGGTTAATATCCAAAATGTATACAAAGCTCAAACAACTCAGTAGCAAGAAAACAAAAAATCCAATTGAAAAATGGGCAGCCAGGCATGGTGGCTCACGCCTGTAATTCTAGCACTTGGGGAGGCCAAGGCCGGTGGATT